CCTGGTCATACAACAATGCAAAGCCAATGGTAATAGTTGGATTCAGCATCTGCCTTCTGTTGGTAGAAATGTAAATGAAAAGTGAAGGATATGTCCACCTGATTTTCAGAGATCTCTGTCCACCTTTGAACTACAGCTCAGTCCTGGGTCCCTTTGTTCCATTTTCAGGGGCTGGATTGTGCAAGGAAGCTCCCATCAACCAGTCTAATTGCATGAATCCAACCAGCTGTATGCATTTACTATTTTTTTTTAAATACTGAATTTCTGTCAATGCAATGAGACTAGTTCACAATTTTTTTTAAAAATAATAATAATATAACCATTATGTTTGGATTGCTATAACATGTTGTACATGCAATTGTCTTTGAAGAATGTTTGACAAATTCAGATGCTCCAAAGAGCTGTAGCCAGATTGTTAGCTGGGGCTGGCTACAAGGAGTATGCAACTCCCTAATGACAACAGCTCATCTGACTGCCAGTCTGTTTCTAGGCACAATTCAAATTGGTGGTCATGACCAACAAAGCCCTATGTGTCTCAGGTCCAGGTTATTTGAAGGGGCTGTACTTCCTTATATGAAACTGCCCATGTCTTGAACTTCTGGGAAATCTATTTCTCTGTCCCAACACCCTCACAGAAACAGTCCTAGCTAGGATTGACAGTGGTAGATGATGGGAGTTGCAGTGTAGGAACACTTGGAGGTCTGCATTTTGCTTATCCCCGAAATATTACAATCAACATAAAAAGAAAAAGGATGGGAGCAAGGTAAGAGGAAAATAAGGAAATTCAGTTGTCAATTAAAATGCCAGTATTAATTTTAGCATATATTTTAATATATATAAATATATCCCATGCCCCTGAAAGTGCTATGATCCATTTCCTACATCTGTCAACCAGTGAGCTCACTGTCTAAGGGTCATCTACTGAGGCAATCTCAACCCCCTTGAATTTTTCATACAGAATGTCTAGTTCTTATAAACAACAAATTCAGGCAGTGTGTGGACTACCACTTCCATAGCCATTGGCCATACTGGCTGGAAAATCTTGGAAGTTGTAGTCACCTTGGGCCTTTGGGACATAAGCTGGTATATTTACCAACACAGTTTAACTGCTTTGCTGCTGGGTTTCATATGTTATGGTTTAATCAAAATGTTTGCTGGAATACTATATTATCATTTACTTAGCATAACTTTATGTTTGCTTATCTAAGTAGCAGGGTGTGTGTGTGCTAAGAAACCCTACAAGTGATTGTGAAGATGTGTATTGGGACAAACTCAAGAGTTCACAATGTACATTGGTGGCTGATGGATATTGGTGCCTGATTCACATCCTTCCTATTGTGCATCAGTCCCTTTGTGCATCGATCTCATTGTACAACAGTTACTTTGCCAGCTCTGCTCCATAGTAATGTAACAACAGCCTTTTATTGGATATGGACATTACAAAATTATCCGATCCTAATTTCTCTAATTTCTTTATACACATGCGTGTTTTGAAGGTGTAGCTTCCATATAGGATTCCA